TTTCACCTTTTGCTTAAAAATCCCTACATATGCCCAGCTGGTGTGGCTCAGTGGTTGAACGTTGAACCATGAACCAGGAGGTCAGGGTTTGATTCCTTGGTCAGGGCACATGCCTGGGTGGTGGGCTTGATCCCCAGTATGGGGCTTGCAGGAGGCAGCTGGGATCAATGACTCTCTCTCATAATTGATGTTTCTGTCCTCTCCTTCTCCCTTCCTCTCTCTGAAATCAATAAAACATATATTTTTTAAATCTCTACAAATCTCCTTAGTGACCCCAGCACCAAGTTCAGGCACCTTAATCAGGGCAAGAAAATGCTGTAGAATTGAGTGTTCTGCTTCCTTCCTCTCCTCTATTTTCTCCAAGGGCCTACACACCCACCGGAGGAATTTGGGTGGAGATGTGGTTGTCTCAACCTGCAACCCCCTCTCAGGCCTTAAGATGGTAGTGTGGTCTCCCTCTCCTCCCGGCTGCTGGCTTTCCATGAATGGTGGGGATGCCCTGGAGAGGGCTCTGGCTCAGGGTTTTGGGTTTGTCTTCTTTGCATGTGGCCTAATCAAGCTAAGACAAAGGACTGGGTGAGGGCATCACGGAGGGCACTGTGTTCTGTGGCTCCTTACTCAGCATTGAGCCCGCTGCTCTTCCCAGGGGCCCACACTGTTGGCACGCTGGTAATAATCAGATAGGGCCCACCGATAGGTTGGCATGGTAGCAATGACATCAATCCCCATTGACCAAGCCCATGTTGAATGGATGTGCACCGTACACTTCGGAGTTCGTGTAGGGGAAGTGCCGGCAGGGCAGTGAGGAGGCCTGGGTGACGTGGTGATGGGTTTCTGTATGGAAGAGGGACTCTTGGGGGTGGGAGAGGTGCAAAGTGCCCTGGGGTCAGGCTGAGTGGGACTGCTGTTGCAATGGAGAATTCCCAGAATGAAGTAAAAGGGAGACAGGACCTCAGAGGAGCCAGTGAAGTGAGGTTGGAGTGAGCTTGCAGGGAGGGACCAGAATCTACCCCGTTGCAGCTCCTCCCTGCCACCTGGTGGGGCGAGTCCTCCAGGTAGGGCTCTGTTCATGGGCTCTAGAAAAATGGCAGACTACAAACCTTAGGGAATTTTAGGGGTGGGCCAGGAATTTATTCACCTTGCTTTCCTCTTGTGGGTCACTCAGGAGGCAGCCGATCAATGATTCTCATCCTTGGTGTTTCTATCTCCCTCTCCCTCTCTGAAATCAATAAATGTATATATATATTAAAAAACAAACTACAAAAACACACTAAAGTCCAGCTAAATACTTGTGGTTTCATTGTCGGCCTGGGGAATTCACTTTGTTAGAATTTCCTTCTTCCTTTCAGGGCAGTAAGGGACTCTTCTTGAAAAACCCATTTCTAGTGAATTTTAGTGACTTGTGCTGTTCGTTCTTCCTGGGAAGCCCCCCCTCAACCCTGGTCTTCATCTGACCTGAGGCAGAGCTCACCCCCTGAGAATAGCCTTCCTGTGGGGTATTTCTTGAAAACAGTTAGTGGCGATTACTTAATTGGCATCTGCCCGAGATTGCGCACCTTCTCTCATGGGCAGATGTGAGAATCCCGTCTCTATTAAAGCCAGACATCAGATTTGCAAAACAAATGGAACAACGCGCCACGCACATCACTAGCATTTATTTTGCAAACAAGTCATCTTTCACAAAAATATGTTATTTATGTCAACCTTAATCTGTTTACAGCTGTCATATAAATATAGATCGACAAACATCTTTGAAGCTGTTCAGTCCAATATAGCAAATATTAGCAGCAAAAATGAGCAAAAGCCCTCTGGGGCCTCTGTCATTTTACGTGAATAAGGCATCCTGAGGCCACAAAGCTGGAAACCAGCGACCTTGCGATGAACTGGTTCCCTGCTCACCTGCTCAGCTGGGCCTTAACCCCCGGTCACTCTCGGTGACCGTGACCGGGTACTGCCCCCTCGATTTTGGCGGGGACACCTGAGCCAGGCCCGATCCGGGGCATCCTCGTCTTTCATCCTCTGTCTACCTGTTTCGTCCTTTCAGCCTGGGAGCCTTGCTGTGTGGGCTGCAAACCGGGTGGGCGGGCTGGACCTGCAGGTGCTGGGACCCTGGGTCAGGCCCTCCCAGCCTGCCGTCCCGCTTCCTCATCCCTGACCTCCAAGGGTGGCTCTTCGTCCTCTCAGGTCCTGGGCACCTGCTGGCCTCACGGCGAGTCCACGGTGCCTGGTGTGGACTCGGGTTCAAGGCCACACGCGTCACCTAATGCTACCGCAGCGGGCTCTCCGCCAGTCGCCGCCCAGCACTTTCTTTGGTTGGGAGCCACCTGGAGCCCTGGGGTCCCCGGGACTGGCCCCTGCCCCCTGGTGACCAGCAAATGAGCTGCTGCAGCAACCGCCTCAGGGGGGAGACGGCCTGGGGCGCGGGGCCTCCGAAGGGGGTCTCCGATGTGACCACAGCGGGTGCGTAGCAGGAGGGGCGGCCAGGGCTCCCCTACTCTCCTCGGAGGCCAGGGAACTGGTGGCTGCGCTCGGTCCCCGCCCCGTGCAGGACCAGCCCCCCCTCA